AGAAATGCATTAAAAGCGAAAAATCGAGGATAGTTTCGTGTGACATATGCCAAGTCTGGGTTATTTTGGTCTCAATGTCTCCGTCCTTCCCTCGTTATAAGGAAGGCACAGGCGGGCGCGGGCAAATCGAGCCTGGGCCTCCTGTGGCTAGAATGTAAATTCTCATTAGAACGTAATACCTCGGGTCATATTGATTGCTGGCGTGGATTATGGTCATTTGTACTAGTTCTAAAATGAAGTATTACGGTTTTGGTATATTTTGTGCATTTAAAAACATGAAGTTTCGGATTTGATCGTTTTAGTGGGAAAATATTTGGGATTTTTTAACATAGAATTGTAAAACGACATTGGCGCAGTCGAGTAAACAGAACTAGTGTGAAATGGCTGGTAAGTATTACAATTACATAAGAAGTTATAAACATCTTCTAGAATTTCAGCCAAATATTTTGTGGCAATTATTAACACAAATTATGTGTATGTATGTACAAATCTGATGTTGTACCACAATCCTCTTCACCTAAACTAATGAATTTCAACGCAATGATATCATTGTCAATTGATCTTCACAGATACATTTTTGCCCAAATTGTTTTACATGGCCGGCAAGATTAAATCTAATTTGATTCAGACGTCAAACTTACACTAGGCGGTCCAAATAATTTTCATAAAAGATTACAGTCAAATCCGGTGTTCCGTTGGGGGCAACATTGCAATATTGTCATGCAATATTGCAATATCGATCCGCTGATTGTAGCAAATTGCAACAGACACAAACAAATTGCAATTTTTACAGTATTAAACTGTCAACTGCAAAATTCAAAAGTTCATAATATGATTTGGAATCAAGTTTGTAAATAAAGCCCGATTGGCCACTAGTACAGAACAAGCCAATCAAATGCTTGGCATTGACATTTGGGCACGGCCTTTCGACAAATTTTCAACACGTAAAAATTGCAATTTGTTTGCGACAGTTGCAATTTGCTAGAGCAATCAGCCGATCAATATTGCAATACTGCATGGCAATATTGCAATTTTGCACAGCTTGACACATACAATTGATGCTGATAAATCACCTCTCCACAGACAAAGCTACTGTCACACAAAAGTGGAATGGACGACATAAAATACTCCACGCTGGACCCTTTATACCCGAAAGTAGGAACAACAAACAGAAACATATAAATTGTAATTCTTGAACAAACAAAAAGGCAGAATCTGTAATGCAAGCCAGAAACAGCTGAAAAGGATAGCAAATTGCAATAAGCGACTATGCATGCCTAAAAAAAAGCTAAGAGTTAAACAATTGAAAAAATTAAGGGCTATATATTCAGCCCTTCAGGTATCTGTTTAAAGTCCTGGCTAATAATAATTTAAGTACGGCCAATACTGTTTTGCTCTACTGAGGCTCTGGCTATATTAATTGATGAGCAAAGCGAGACTATGCAAAAGAATGGAAGGTTGAAGCTTCAAGTGCACTGTGAATTGAGTGATGGAGTGAAGCTTTGTCTATTTGGTATACCGGTATTGTCTGAGTGCAAGACCGGGCTAAAAATTTCAGCTTGCCATGACTGCAAGTACCGGCAAATTACACAGCCTCGGGCGAACGGCTGTCAAATGTTTTCTTAGCGCTGGCGAAATTCACCGTTCGCCGGCCTAAAACAAGATGGGTGTATATTATATAAATCATTTGGAATAAATCAATTTGGTTACAACGAAAAAACACCAAACAAGACAAGACAAGACAAACTTGCAAAATAACAAAGCTCACCCTTAGCAGCACAAATGATAATATGACAGACAGTAACAACTGAGTAAGTATTAGAAAGTATTAGGCATAATATTAAGTAAGTGACTACAAGCAAGCACAAAAAATAAGAGATTATAATAATTATGTAATTAATTTAAATAAGTGATTTTAAAAGTGATTATACAGTAGACAACAAGCCAGGGTTAAGTATAATAACTATGTGACTGGACAACAATATAACTAGACAAGGTGCGTCAGACGGCTGCAAGCACACAGATAAACATTTCTTACTCCACTAATGTTACAGGCACTTCAGATGACAGCAGCGACCAAGAAACACAATTATTATAACTAAATGATAAGTTGATAACCTCATGGGCGGGGTAACCCCCCCCCCCTGCAAAGAATCTCTCTAACACCTCAAATTATTTCCTCAAATTATTTCCAAAGAAAACAGTAAATAACTGAGTAGAAGTATCTTAGGCCTATTGTTTTTTAACCTATTGGTTGCAAAATCAGTTTTAAATAAATTATTAAATTATTAAATTAAAAAATTACCTCTTATAAAGTGTTCAACCCCTGCTTCACCCCTCCTATTTTGTGTAAAAGTCTTTGCTTCACCCCTCCTATTTTGTGTAATTTAGTCTTTTCTTCACCCCTCCTATTTTGTGCGAAAGTCTTTAACGGCCTGCCATTAAAGCTCGCTCTTTGTTGCTGCTTGCACCCCACTAGAACGTTTTCCACCCCTCCTTTCATAAAATGAAAATCCGCCCTTGGATAACCTCCTGTGTAAAACCACAAGGGAACGCAAAGCTATGCATGCACGTATCTCCCACCAGACTTGTGACTTACAGTAAATAGCCTTATTATTGGTCTGTATAAGTAATGAATAATTGAATAATATGAATGTAAAGCTTGTGCTTGATGCTAACTATTTTTATTGCATAAAATCATTTAACAGTATTTATGATCAGCAGTGCTGTCGTCTAATGGCATATAAATATGGTTGGTTCATGTGAATTTCAACGTTTGAATTCAACTTAATCCAAAGTCGAAATTCCCATCAAGCAATATTGAACTCTTTTATTGTTGGATCAGTCGTACTTAAAGTACCAGAGAACTGTGGATTGAGGAGGATTCAACTCAGTACAAAATACAAGAAAAACTCAACGTTTCGAGGAAAGGTTCTTCATCAGGAATTAAAACAGTTCACAGAAGCCAATCCAGATTATGTTCATTTTAGGCTTGTGTTCACTGTTTTTATTTTCACTTTGTATTCCCAGAGGAGGATCCAGACAGCAGTGTAGCGCGGGCTCGTCATCGTCAGAAACGTGGTCTTCTGAAGCTGTACTATGGAGTTGGAGAGGAGCCCGGAGAGACTCCAGTTAATCCTTGTGATATCAACGGCGCTCATTTTAAACCCGATGCATACATGGAGAAATTACTGAAAGAGAAAAGTTTAACTGAACTCATGGATAAGGAGACTGATATTACGAAACGTAAGGAGTTTAAAACATAGTACTTCTCGGCCATTCACCCATCTTTTGGTCTTTGTCGTTGAAAAAAAAAATTACATGAATTACTGTAGTATAGGCTAAGGTGGTTAAGGAAGAAACGAAACCGAAAACCGACCTCACAGAATGGACAATTTTTGCAGTGTCTGCACATCGTCTTGCGCAAACTGAGTTTGGTGTTTGTTTATGAATGTGGCCCGGCCTTATCCTGATCCAGACAAAACAGCGCAAAATGCGTCGCGTTGTCGAATCGCGTCCGGTGTGTCTGAAACTAGGGCTGAAACTTAAGTCATGGCGCGGCGGCACGCGCGGTTACAGGTTTTTGGCTGAGTTTGAATTCTGTATCGTATATAATCTCTGCTGACGTATAAAAACCTCGATAAAACACGCCATCTTGACGCCATTTCATTGCACAAAGCAATAAAAAAGCAAAAAGGACGTACCTTGCAGATCTTGCATATTGTTCCAATTCTGAAAAATAGCTCTGATGTTTATCGGTAATTATCGATAGACCGCCCCCAGCCTACCACGAACTGCGGAGAATGTGATAACCAAATAAACTGACGTTTCTTGCCAATTAATTGTAAGCCTGTATTTCCGCATGTTTCACGTTTGACGTTTACGTTTAAACGCGGTGTGCTGTTAGAAAGATATGTCAATCATAAAGTAAACGTGAATATTAAGATATCTTCTATTCATCTTCTTTTCAAACTTAAAGAGATCAAATCCTTGGATAGCGACATGCAAACCTTGGTATATGAAAATTATAATAAATTCATCAGTGCAACAGACACCATCCGCAAGGTTTGTGACCATATTCAAAATCTTAGATTTTTACTGACGGTTTTATTACAGTATGATTTAGTTTAGTGTGTTTACCATTCTGTGGTGGAGATGCCTTAAGGTTACAGAACACCTTTGAGTGTTAATTTTGCCTAAAATTTTTTTATTGGTTTCCATGAAAGCATTAGACTAGTTCTACTATCTGACCAAGTTTGAACGAAAAATGTTGAAAACTCGCAGAGTTATTTAATAAAATACATTTCGCTGCAATAAGAAAAACATTGAAAATGTAATATTCAAATTCAATTTTCTCCCGAAGAATTTTACGGTAATTACTGATTTTCAAACGAGTTGTTCTCCTGCGGGTTTTAACCAATTTTTCTCAAATTTTCACAGGACATAGCTAAAGACGTCAGTTTCAAAATTGTGTTCGGCTTTTTTTTAATTTTGGATATTTTAATAATAAAGAGCAATTCACTCAAACAATTCAGAAATATATTGTAGTCGTCAAAGAAATCGCCATATCAGCGGAATGACGAAATAAACAAAAATTTCCGAACACAATTTTTTAGAACAACTATTTTACTGTATAAAAATGATATTTTCATAAATATAACTTAAAACCAGCAGGAGCACAACTCAAAAGTGTAACGGTACCGCGATTTTAGATTTTCCTGAATAATTCTTACATTATTTTATTGTTTGTTAATTTTACAACTTTACCATATTTTGCATGCACTGACGAATATTTGGTGAAAATTTGATTAAAATCGGACTGATATTGAGCGCGCGGTAGCGATTTTACGCAAAACGCCAAAAAGGGTGTCCTGTAACCTTAACAGGTTTTATAACACAATTGTTTACTGAATTATGATGAATGTGGTGTATATTGTACTTAATTAACACATTTTCAGATGAAAAATGATTTTAAGAAGATGGAAGAAGAAATGGACAATCTGTCTGTAAAAATGTCCGCTATCACTGCATTCAATGATAAGATTAGCAACACTTTACAAGACAAACGCTTACAAATTACGAAACTATCTGGCGTCCATGCTTTACTTCGTAAGGTTTGTGAACTTGTTTTATACACTGTATAGTTCTTAATTGTTTTTGTTTGTGGAAACACCACGTAAATTTATTACTGGTGTTTCCACAAACAAAAACAATTATATTTTATCGCCATGCAAACGTTCAAAGAACTTATGTATAGTTCTTGTTGTGCAGTGTTCTACTGGGTGTCCCAAAACAAACTGGACACTGTTTGATTTCATGTAATCAAAAACTATAAACTGAAACCTATAAAAGCTATTGCAATGAAATAAAGATCATTGCATTCAGAAAGGACTAACTTGATATATAGCACTTGAATTTATACATGCAATGTTGACTGCGCTATTGATGTTTGAACGTTGAACTACTGTTTTTGAAAATGCCAAAAATTAGCATAAAACAACCTTTAATAATAACTACCGATGTATAGTTATACTTGTTAAGTAATAAAATATGTTTATTTTGGTTGCCTCTCGCTCAATATTGCATGCAAATTCAAGTGTTACATATCAAAATCTAAATGCAATGATCTTTATTTCATTGCGATACGCCGATAGCTTTAATTTATAGCTTTTACGTTACATGAAATCAAACCTTGTCCAGTTTTTTTTGGGGACACCCGGTAGTCTAATCTCAACCACTCTTACTGCCCTATTACTATTAGACATGTTTGTTTCCAACATAAACTCGCAAGTATAAATTTGAACAGGAACAGGGAGGCAATAAAACGAGTTGAATCAACTCCAAAAGTGTTATTTTGTCACCAAAAAAGTGTAACAAAATAACAGCAGAATGCTTCGGATTGAGAGGGATTCAACTACCTAAAAAATACAAGTAAAACCTCAACGTTTCGAAAGGTTTTGGCGGAGAAGAAGGAGTATTCTCTTTATATACACGGTTATTATTTAGCCTTTCTCACGAAGGCCAAAATCCGCTATTTTGGGGGTACTGTATATTATATGCCTTCGTGAAAGATTCTAGACAACGTGAAAAGCGACTTTTAAAGGCTATTAGTAAAACACGGAGCACGGAGCACACGGAGCACACGGAGCACGGAGCACACGGAGCACGGAGCACACGGAGTACGGAGCACACGGAGCACGGAGCACACGGAGCACGGAGCACACGAAGTACGGAGCAGTAGAAAAACGAAAATACTTTATAATAAAATACACTGTTTACTATTACAAATTTTTGTTATTATTAATAAAGAGTTTTCGCGAATTTACACGTTGGGGAAGTAGGAAAATGGGGCTTTTACTGAAAAACACATATGATGCAAAACTGCCAAAAGCCATAGCATTTAAAATGGGATTGTGAAACTCGTTATCTTACATCCATCAAGCTTATGTAGTTATATTATATTCCGATGGGCAACACATAAAGAAACACTTACTGTAGAGAACAGCCGATATATTTCGTTACCCCTGCCCAAAAATAGCCAAGTACTCATCTTTCAATGTAGCCGGGATCGACTGAACATTAAAGCTTGTCATGGAGAGAAGTGAATTTTCGGTTTATCCTTCGGCCCAGTGACCGGTGGCAGTGAGCTGTACGGCCGGCTAAGTTTAAACCGTTATAATATACAGTACATCATTACTGCTTTCATTCTTTCAATTCGTTTTGAATATTCGGAATCATTCACAATATTATAAAACTGTATAAGATGGCTGTAGAACTATAAATGCTGTAGAATGAAATAAATAAAGAAAAGTAAGTTTTCAAATCGCGGTATTTGCCGATAAATCGGTAATCGCTACAGAAAAACTGAACAAATTAAAGTAAATCACAACAAACTGCAGAAGTGAGACAATTTTTGTATTTTCACTGTATAAGACATAGTAGAACATGTACGAAATCTAAACAGAAGTGTGTGTGTATTCTATAATTTGAAACAACTAAATCAGAAAAATATACTAAAATTTGACAGTATTAAACTAGCTGCTTAGTTTTGAGAATTTAGATTTTAGGTATTCGTTGTACCCAGTAAATATTTTTGAGTTTTGAATTTTGATTCTCAAGCTGTTTTAATAAATGTGTATAAATCGACACTAACGCCTCAAAGGCGAAAAGGTGGGCAAGATTGTAACAATCGGTTGTAAACATGAGCAGTTTCGAGCATAAACATGATATTGAACGAGTAATTTAACGCATCTGATTGGCTACTAAATTCGGGAAGCCAGTTAAGTGCATGTAAGTGTATTTGTTACAATTCCGATCAACTCTGCCAGTCTGCCGTTGTGACTGCTGAACCTATTAAAACTCCGCCCGTTTCCTTGCTGAATTTTCGGATAAATCTCATCCAAATAAAACCCTCTGTTTCTGCATTTGACGAACACTGACATGTCGCACAAAAGATCATATGCGGAAGCTGTTTCT